TCGATGTGCATCTAGTTCATTAAAGGCTAGCCTTTTAACATAATGGCGAAAACTGCCAATGAAGTGTATATGAAGTGTATGAATATCCTATGAGGCATTTCCCGAATGACCCCCATATATATTTGCAGGTTAAGAGATGCCTTTTGTAAATGCAACGTCGACGCCTACTATTATATTGTGTTGATGATAATGAAGATTTATGCTTTAAAGCATAAAAATAGTAATCGATAATAATTAAATAAGAATAACAGTGGATTAGACCATATATAAATATGTCGAATTCATCCGTCTGAGCGAAAAATGATCACTAACATGTTTCAACAAACAAATTGTTGATGCCTTGCTGTTTGTAGCTATCTTTGGCCGGTAGGCCGAGTAGAGAAGACGTGTGATGAGATAGGCCGAAGACAGTCTATCTCTTCTTCAAGCACGCAAAGTGTCACTTTTTTTTATTAAAATTATAGAACTCCTTGGCCTTCTTGAAATTTGTAAATACCCTTTAGATTTTTGTACAATGATTGACACTTAAGTATGGCTTGTATACGGAAATAAATATGGAAAGTACGAATAATGTGCACGGAACCAGCCGAAAGTGAGATCATTATCAAATCAATCAACTGGCAATAAAGCAGTAATTTAGTTTATTGATATTACTGGACGTTTTGCATGCTATCGAGATACTCATCCTCTAGTTGGAAGAAAAGGCACGACATAAAACAATAAAATAATTACGTGTATTTAAATAAGTGCCAATAATATACCGTATGTAGATTTGAGTAGGTTTCCTAGAAACTTAACGCCATAAAGTAGTATATAATAAATGGGAAAACATTTCTCAAAAACGCCATATATTCAAAGTACATAAGTTTAAAAGAATCTTACCTTATGTGTTTCAGTGAACACAGAAAATTGCTTAATTGCTCGTATTCATGTACACACAGTTGTTGTTACGTGGTTACCGTTATAACAATACTCTCCTAAGTAAAAAAAAGGCCAGATAGGCCTTGGAGATGTTGTAGCCGGCTCCTTTTCCAAACTATTTTTATTCTGACCCAGTTGGTTGCTGTCGAAGCTAAGGACCGTGGACGATTGCTGCTGAGATAAAGTGAATGTTGCATTGATACTATGTGGGAGAGTAGCTTTCAACGAACGAACACATGTGTCAAAAACACAAACTAGAGTAGATTTATCTCGACACAACTTCGGAGTCTACCAATATAAGTTTATAACTTTTCCGAAGCTGAGTATGAGCAAGACTAGTGACGAAGTAACCTGATAGAATTAATTAACAGTGCTTTAATGCTAGCCGCCCTCGTATAAATCAAGCTTAGCTCTATAGCGTACCTGCTTGTAATGTTAATAAATGTACTATTTTTCATCGGAAGGGTAGAAATCGGACTCCATAAGAACTATAGTACAACATACGAAAGTGAAAGTTGCTCATAGAACTGTCTTCTTGTATTTAAATCTTCCGTAAAAATAAAATTTGTATTACGGCTATAAGGTGTAACTGTGAAAAGAAACTGTTTCACCGAATTTGAATAGGTACCATTCTACTTACTATATCTGGCAATTTTTTTGTTCTTAAAGTTGTTTGCTCTTTTCTCTAAGAAGCGAATTAACGTGCTGTTTCCTATTTAGAGTTATTATGTGTTCCGTAGACTTTCAAGAGCGACGCTGTGCCTGTGTTTTTAAATGACGGTTTTGAGATGTCGCTCAAACCACATGGGTCATGTTGATTGAGATCTGTCAATTTCACAGCCGCCGTCACCAAGAAGGTGCTGACGCGTCCGTAATGTCCTAGTCCAGTATGACCACATTAAACTGGTTTTTTCACTCACGTTTATCGACTTTTTAATTTTCGAGAGACTGGTCCCTTTCAGCCGAGTGTGTAAAGCAATATGGCGCACGATCGGCCAAGATAAATCAGTCTAAGCTTATTCAAAGCACAGTTTATGAAGCATTTGTCTTGTTAAAGATGACCATTGCTTTTGCTTGCATAATAGTACAGAGACAAAATTGAAACACACACTGAGTTCTATGTAAAAAGGTAAACTTATAAAATTCTGTTGTCTTACGATGCTAATAATTGTTCGTACGGTTTTGCAGCATCTACAGATATCTACTTCTCAAGTGAAGGGTTGGTCTTTCCCTTTTTTTGATTCGGGTTTGTATTCCAATGTTTCAGAGCTATGTCTCCGAAAGCTAGTCTCAACATGTCATTAGAACTGTTTTCACGTAGAGTAATTTACTATGGCTACCGTAAAATTTGTGTTGTGGAAAAATTGCAAAGCCCATCTACCTTTATAGCTTTCGAAGAATGACTGAGTCCTCGACTGTTTTGGACTACGCTGTTTCCGTGTATGTTCCGTTAATAATGTGTATCAGTGTAACGGCTGATGATCCATTCTTCATCTTCTTTCCTTGCTAGCAGCACCAAGTGTCTAGAACACATGAAAGAGTTTGTTGTTATTTTCAGACGACCCATTTACGTGATGAGGCCTTAGTAGGACAAAATTAAATTCTGTTGCCCGCCAATAAAAGTGTACACATTGACTAAGTCATTTAGTGCAGTTACTGTCAGGTAGAAATGCTCCGGTAATCGTGCGTGTATCTGTTGCTTATCGATCTAGTTTTTTCCTATTGTGAGTAGCGCGCATTTTATTTCAAAACATATTTACCCTCTTGTTTAAAAGAGAGTCACTAGAGGGCGCCAGTTTGTCTAGTCAGGCGACTCAACGATTCCCAGCCGCAGAAATATTTACTGCTTTAAATCTACACTATAGAATAGACTAATAGAACTAGAAACACTACTGTGTATAGAGCTAATTAAGGGGCTGATCCCTTTTAACACATCCAACGTATACCAATTAGTTGTTTTAAGTCTAAGTTAGTAAGAGGCAATACTTCTACCGTTACGCTATATAGCTGTTTACTACTATGTACGACACACCGTTCAAATATCTTCCACTTTCCGCAGCGTTTCTTCAATTTCAAGTTGTTCAAAATGTTAATTTGGCCGAATACGTTATTGTACTGGCTGTCATCATTTGGCGAAGTTGGTAACAACATTATCTAACAACTCGGGTGCCTATTTGGACAGATGTAACTCATGACATGTCGATCTGTGAGTGCTTTTCTCAGCTTACCTATCATCTTGAAGATTATTCACGGCTTCAAAATAGCTATGCCTTGAAGACGGTGCATTCCATTAACAAACAGTCGATTGGCCGTTTTCACCAACCACACTGCTAGGTACTCGGTAATAGCTTACAAAGCCGATTGGGAAGCAGATAGCAAAATGACTCGGACTACTGACTATAACTAGAATATTCTTTAATGTCAAGCCAAGTGCTTCTTGTTCGAATTCAAAACTCGATGTTTTTGGGAAAATACGGAATGACAAAGCTTGGTGTGCCACACTGATAGGTTAAATGAAAAGTTTATGCAACAATTCTGCCATGAACAACTTACAGTGTAGAAAACTATGACATTTTTACAAGGTATTTCTGAATACTGTCTTTTTATCTATAATACCAGCCACATCTAGCAGTTATATGACTATATTAATGTACCACTAATAATAGATATGGAAACACAGAAGATCGGAATAAATTGCATGGGTTTTATTGTATTAAAACTCATTCCTAGTCAATTTGCCCAACTTATAGACTTGTGTAAAAATCAAGGATATTTCTTTAAGATTCGAATAATTTTACTTTAAAATAATCGTCTGAGGTGTTCTTTGTTTTGTAAGCCGCTTGCTACAGCACATTTTACATTCTTTTAAGATTGGTTTGATCTGAGATTGATCGGTGAAAATAGATATCCCAAAGACTATTCCATTGATGAGCATCAAGAAGCGCATCGAAATCAAATCTATCACACAATCATCAAGGAAAATATATGTATACGTTTAAAACTTAACCCTTTAGTTCTACGCGAGTATCTATTTTCAACACATACACGTTTATCGTCTATTGTTATCTTCTGCTGCTATAATGTCCAGTGTCTTTAAAATCTATCGGTTCCTTCACAGCGGAGGTCAACGACCACCTCCGCGCTCTTGCCGCGCAAGCACCCTAATTCGAAACAGTCCCTCAGCGTGCTCCCGGCCACGCGCAGTCAATTCGGCGCGCGGCTCTTTCATTTCATCACAAATTGTCGATGTAGCTCTACTGTTTAGGCTGCAATGTCCTTTACTGTTGACAGTATCGTAGCAGTTCAAACCAATATACCTCCTGGTTTCTCCTGGCCCTCGCTATGGCACCCCCTCCTTTTTCTGGAGCCGAAAGCTTCTCCTAATTCTATTAGCTATTACGTGCGAAGATGAAACTCCTTCGATTCTCCGAGCCTTTCTGGTTCTCATCGGCCACTCTGTTCGATACGTGTCCGAGAGTTATCAGTTCACAAAGCCGATTGTGGCGTCAGCGACCGCAGTTGTAGTAAAACCTGTAGTGGCAATTAAAAGTCATAGTAGTCCTGGTACTATAGTGGCGCGGGTGTCGACGCGGCTGCCAACGACGCTGCTACATCCTTTAGTACAGCCGCTGTTCATTCGTCGTCGTCGTCGTCAACGTCATCCGACGGCCGGCTATAGCCGGCGTGAGTATTTTCTTTTCGTGGCAATGCTGTTGGTAATAGTCGTTGCGGCAGAACCACTGACAGGCAGCGTCTGCACCGCGTCGAGCAGCAGAGAGGCTCACTACTGCTCCTGTAGCAACAATCAGCAGCCGCCGGTTGCGATTTCGGCGGTAGCGGTGACGGCGCGCGATGAGGCTGCAGCAACGGTGATGGTGCCGGCGGCGGCGGCGGCGGCGGCGGCAACAACGACAGCATTGTAGTCCCACCTCTTCTGCACGGCCCGCCCCTGGGCGCTGCGCTCTCCACTTGTGCCCTCGCCACTCGACGGCAGCGCCACCTAGCCGCGCCAGCTCAGGAACGCCGACGATCGGGACACAAGTGGCATACGGCCATTGGGGGCCGAAACGGATCACTTCGCGTCAGAGAGTGCGCGAAAAGCGCTCGGAGTGTGCGAGTCGCGGAGAGCGCGCCACCCTCCCCCGGACTACAGGGTGCTCCGAAACAAAACAAGTTCGTTGCGTTGCGTTGCTATTACTGCAACTTGAGCGACAACTCCGAGTTCCTTTAATTCCGTTGTGTCCATATTTCGTTGTTCGTGCTCTCTCTCTCGACCGGCGACACCAGTTTATTCATTTGCGCTCACCAAATCGCTTACGCGCTTCTAGATGACAGATTGGATGACTGCAGTCGCTGCGATCAACAACGATAACAGCAAGAAAGCGCAAGAAGATTACAAGCACGACACAAGGAAGCGTAAATGTGACCGTAACTTTCAACGACGATTACGTCTAATGGTACAACAAACGCAGGAGCAGTTGTATTCATAAAATCTGTCCACTTCCCAGGATATACGTACATGTACCAATTTACGTATAGGTATATTTATACAGTATATATCTATCTATCTACATATATATGCTTTGAGAGCATGCATATCTGAGCGCTTTCTAGGGAACAAGCAAAAAACAGGAAACGAAGATCCAACAAAGAAACGGGGAAAAAGCAGTGTTGGAAAGAGAGAGCGAGACCGAAAGAGAGAAAGGGAGAAAAGAGAATAAGCCGACGAGTGGAAATTAGAGAAAAGTGTGTATTGTTTATTGTCAACGGAAAGTATCGTCAATAGAAGGTGTGCATTGAGCGATACACAGAAAGAAAGTGTGTGTGTGTGTGCGTGTGTATAGAAAATCAAATCAACAAATCGAATTGTGCGCGTGTATCTTCTGCGTGTGCTGGTGCGGTTCATTTCTGTGTTTCGTGACACCATAGTCTGGGACAGATCAGCAAACCCGACCAACGACAAAGGATTGTAATCGCGCCCCGTGGACTACGTGATTTCGTGTGAGTTTTAATGTGTAAAAATGTTCTTCGAAAAAAAAAGAAAAAATTAAACATGATGACGACTATGACGATGACAACAACGACGATGATGACGAAAAATGTATCTATCGGTTCTCGTTGATCGGTGTAACGCCGGTGTTTGTGAGTGAGACGACAGTGAGTGCCAATTCCCTCTTCTCTCCCCAACAAACGAAAACGAGACACGGTTTTTTCGGGCATGTATTGGAATAAAGATCACGGCCTGGTTGGTTTTCCATTGTTGTTGTTGTTGTTCCTCCAAACGTATGTTAAAAACGGATACTCCAAAGCACACAAAAAGAGTAAGCAAAACCAAAAAGAACAAACCTTAAGTGACAATACCGTATCCAAAACGTCTCTATTTATATTAAATGTTGTCCAAAATCCTGTATTCTCAATAAAACCACTGTTTCATTCGATGCTGACAGGCAATTTAAGTGTCCTTGTCTGCGCTGTTGATATTATAGTTCGGAATCCCGGCTATCAGCAAAGCAGCTTCAACTACAACACGTCCAGTTTATAGAATATATAGTAGAAATAGCAATGTCTTCGCGTTTCTGCGTCACGTTACGTTTCTAACTCAGTGGTTCAGTGTTAAGGTATGCACGTGTTTCTTGCTAGTATTCAATTTGGTAATACGGCCTTCACCCACTGAACTCCACTCCACTCCGCTCACTCAAAACCTAGCTCTAGCAAAAGCTCGAGCTTACTTTTGATCTAGTTGCTAGCATTAGGAATAGAGAACACATTTCAAATATGTCCTTGCATTGTGAACATTCCGAAACGCACGTACACGAGAAGCTAAAGGCCAAACCCCTGACGTCGCCCCACGTTGTTCTTTGTCAGCAGTTTCTGTCAGCTCACTCTGGCTAACTAGGCACCATACAATCAGTACGACCAACGTATCAACACACTTTCGCGATAGCAGTCGTGAAATAATGCGCTGTTAGTGTCATTGACTCGCCGCGCCTTTGCCCTCTAGATAATTTCGGATGCTGCTGCTACTCGTAGTATCGGAAGTTAGTGGTTTTAGTCTTCGTCGTGCTCGGCAGCAGCAGCAGCAGCAGCAGCAACAGCAACATCAGCATCAGCAATAGCATTGCGCTGCTGCTGTTAGCGGCGGTTGTTATCTATTTTTTTTATTCTCTCCTCCTCTTTAGAGATCTCCCAGGAGCCGGCCGACACCATCAGCATTGCCGCTGCTGCTGTTCCCGTCTATTCCGCTCCCCCGTCAAACCCACGCTCTAAAAATCTCCCCATTTTGCCGGCTCGTCAGTTCCCTCTTCTAGAGTTCCCCTACGTGAGAGCAACCACTGGTGCCGCTTCCCCCCACCCATCGACTCGATTCCCCGTTAGCGCCCCGTTTCTTTATCCCAACCTAACCCCCCATTCCCCTAATCGAGGTGCCTGCCCTCTCCACTTCCCACCCCCACCTCATGGGGTGAACCGTGCTGCCTCCAGCGGCAGCCGCAGCAGCAGGAGCAGCTACGCCGCTGCTGTGCTCCGGCTGTGTGGGTGGAAGCGATGGTAGCCATGGTGTGGTGTTAGGAAGCCGCTTTCTTTGGCTATGGCTGCTACTGCCGGCACTCGCTAGCTCCGAGCGGCGAACACCGAACGAGCGTACCCCCCCCCCCCCCCCCAGCGCCTATGAGCAACACAGCGGCAGCAGCGCGCTCTCTGAAACTGCAAACTCTTAAGCACTCTCCTCCTTTTCGGGGGCGAAAGAGTGGCCCTCAAATTAGCGCATTTTTTTAGATCGGCGCCAGCAGCAGCCGCGGTGCGGCTGCGGCCGCGGGCGCGTAGAGGAGAGCGCATTTTTAAGAGCATTTTAGGATGCGCGGACATTTTTTAGCGATCGCTGGTGCTTGCAGTTCGTAGCCTCCTGCATCCGCCGCCAGCCGTCTGCCGTCCAGGCGCTCCCTACACTACTACTCCACCAGCAGAAGCAGCAGCGGGTTGGAGTCGAGCGAGTGCTTACTGCCCTGTGTACGGCTACCACTAGAGCACCACACGCTATTAAAGCCTGCGTGCGGCCTGCTGCCTGGTGGTGGGTCTCCCCCCTACGGAGTTCGGCAGCAGCGGCAGAGCAGTTGGCAAGCCGGTAGGAGCTTCATCTCTTACTCCGGCGCGACGATCACTTGTGCGGTGGCGGCCGACAGCGAAGGTGCGCCCACCGTTCACTTAGGCTGCTGGGGCTGTTGGTACCACCTTGGATTGCCACGCAACGACAGCTAATCAACTGCTATAATTAGTAGTACCCGTACTAATCAACAATAACAAAGGGAATTACTATATAAGAATATCACTTGTTGGTTGTAGCTGAACAGCAGTACTCTAGCGGTGCACGCGTTGACTAGAGCGAGATAACCATCAACCGTCGCTCACACTCATGGCCATGTAAAAGTTCTTCTGAAAAGCGATCATTATAGTGTTTGATGGCGTCAATTATCGGTGCGGCAGCATACATAAGAAGAAAAAACAGGGAAGTTCATAACAGCAGTAACGACAGCCACAAATACCTCAATAACAACCTCAAAAGAGAAGTAGTGAATGATGATCTCTATAAGTGTATCGGTGAATAAGTGAGAAGCATCAACGAGTGATGTCGGCGTACATGTTTACCCTCATATAAGTATAATCTTATAAAGTAGCCAACTACTCGTCGTCAAATTGCAAGTGCTGATGATTTCGAAGCACGAGCTGCGTTTCAGCCGCAACCCAAACCTTTACCGCCTGCCAGTGTGTGCGCCCTGTTACCACCATCACCACTACCAACAGCATTGAAGTTCGGGTGTCAATTGTGTGGCGATAACAGCCACGTCCGTCGCAATTAAAATGATCCGTTGTTAGTTTGTGCTTTTAGGCCGTGTTCGTTCGTGTGTCGGTATGCGCATTTGCAATATCCTGCTCTCGTCTACCCATTAACGGTTTAGATTGGGCATTTGTTAATGTGTGCTCCATCGCGTCCATTTCCGCCTATCCTCCTCTTGATTAGTGGCGGTAGGAAGAAAGCAATGATGTGATACAGAAAATATAATAGAGAGGGAGTGAGAGACCTACGACAAAAATACAGTATGATAATCATGTCGTTTTTCATCATAGCACGCAAATACGTATTGACAGAGTTGGCGTTTTAACGCCAACTATGTCGACATGTTGGCGGCATCATGTCATCCGCCTCGGCGGTTCACATGTGTAACTGAACCCCACAATATTTCAGATACGTGAAAACGCGAGGCGACGACAACAGCTCCGACAAGCTCAAAACGAAGCCAAGCCAATAACAGCAAAAACAAGTGCATAAAATAGCCCCATATCTCGTATACGAAAGAGTTCAACGTTATAACGTCGTGCGGAGCCGTTCACGCTATTCAAGTTCATGAAGTTATTCACGAGTGCCCGACAAGGCTTCCCGGCCGGACTTAAAAGTGTCAAACCGGATATCGGACTGTCAATACCATACCTCAGGTGAGTAACTGATATATGAATTAGGACGAGTATCTATAAAATAGAACACAATAGGCTGTAGCAAGGTAGTGCTGAACGCCAAATGGCGAACTACCACGTGCGCCTATAAAAAAGGGCTTCCGTTCTCGAATCGGTGGGGCAACGAGTTAGACGACTGAATTGTGACTGTGATATATATATGTACATATATATATATATATATATATATATATGTACATATATATATATATATAGAGAGAGAGAGAGGGGGAGAGGGAGAGGGAGAGGGAGGGAGAAGAGAAAGAAAAGGGAGTATCAGACGTACGATTTGGCGTAAATAATGTATAGGGTTTCGTGATCCATTTGACTGACGGCGACACAGAGACGATGCATTTTAGATATTCAATAATATTTGCGACCTGCGAAAATTTCTGTCGTGCCGTAGAATAGTTGTTGTGCAAGATAATGACGTGTACGCGCGTAAATGAATTTTTGGGGCAGGGTGTGGGGGCGCTTCCAAGATATCCATGCTTTTGAGGCGTGGTTTATGCGTACTCAAAAGTTTTCGGCTACGCGATGATAAAATTGCCCCGCCAGCATCTGCTTGATTTCGGATTGTGTTTGATGGAATGATTCCCGAAATCGACCATCTTTTAAATGCGATGGGAAAACGAACCGTGGTTGTTCGTTCGACCATTTACATTTGAATCCTTGCATTGCGCGGTTATTCTATTCTATCAAGTATTTAAATTGATCATTTTAAACAAAGTTAACAAAAGCTCGTGCACCAATGTAGTATATAATGTAATCTACTATATCGCTAGTAGTATATACCTGGGGTACCGAAATTCACCGGTCAGCAAACGGACGTGCGTAACATAGTACATAATTAGTAATGACTTACGTTTGCCGTTGCAAACTTGTATTAGATCGTCGAGATGAACTTGTGACACTCAGCTGATCTGGCGATTCAGTGAAGTAATATATTGCACTGCGGTTGAAGACAAGACAATGTTATAAACATTACATCAACAAGTGCGTTTAGATTTGATAGAAAAAAATAGATAATTGATCGAAGCCATGGCCCAAATTAGGCTACCTCGACACTGGCCTGCCCTTTGTGTTTACCAGCAAGAATGAGCTGTCCTGACAAATACTTAAGAGAATTGGCGATGCATTGTGCATCGAAATGAGCTCTAATTGAATGAGTGGGAGCATTGTCGCCTACCGTGTTAGTCATCCGGTGATGCTGTACTGTAGCTTCGTTGGCGTTGCCCGACGGTATAATTGGTTTGCTTGTCGATCTCTTTCTCTGATCACGACTCATCCGTTTCCATTCCGAGCTTCAACTGACCAAAGTTGTCTGTCTTACCATATATCTATTAATTCCATCGTTATCGCCGGCTAGACATGACCATAATCATCAGCTACAGGACCATTATATGATTGTTGACGTTGTCCGAACTGGGCAGTGCTTTTGATGGGATTCTGACTATATATATGGCGAGTTTCGCCCTGTTCAATGAATTTGAGGGTAAATAAAGTGCCAACCCGGGTGGGCATTACACCTGCCTACGGCATTGAACATCAACCTAGACAAACGTTAAATACAGTATCCAAAAAAATGAGCGTTAACACACTCTAACATGAGAAACGTGAACGAGGTTGCCATATTACTATTATATCTATGTGCAGTACAATAGGTACGAAGTGCAATGGTGTTGCTTGCCACATTGTGGACTAGAACACCAAACGATCGACCGTATGTGCATACTCTGTTTCCCTAGCCTGAAAATAAACCAAGTCGGTCATAAGCAATGCTTGCATTGACCATTAACATATGCGTTAGTTGTTTTTGTTGTTGCTATCGTTGTCAGCACAAACAGTCACTATTGCCCCTCACTGTGGCCGGCTATGCTATGCTTGACTCCGCTTTAGTGGATGGCTGTTCAGTCTAACAGGGGTTTAACTGTCTGGCATTCGGCCACCGCTGTTTTCGTGACCGCAAGCACGCATGCACATATGCAGATGACAATGAGTCTAATTTATTCTTGTGTGCATCTCGCACTACCGGTGCTTTTTGTGTGTCTGCCGCCTATAGCACCAACAGCCAGAACTAATAGCGATGACAAAGAAAGTTTTTTACGGTCATAATTATTATACATGCATAATCTAGTTATGTTTTTTATTTGTCGTTGTTGTCGCCGTCACCACCAACCTCACAGTCGTCGGCCGAGTGTCCGGTGGTCCGGTCCAGCTTATCCAGCTGGCGTCTGCGCTGCAACGAAATCAACTAGAAACGGGGGAAAATATGCAAGGAGGTTCATTCGTTGGCCGCTTCGACATCCGTTGGCTATTTAAATGCAGAGAATACGGTACTATCCTGTCCCTCCAATGTTCTATTTATTCAGAAATTAGTTGCATCAGCTAATTATCCGAGTTACCCCATTTCCTTGGTGTTTTCCACTCCTGATGGTGATTAGGCAAAACAGGACAAGGCAAGATAGGCGCGCGCCTAACCTCAACGCCAGTAGTAGTGACACTGGCAGTGTTAACGTTGTTGTTCTAGCGCACCCCAGCGCAAAACTGCTGGCTGGTAAATTGTCACTGCTGGAGCGTTGAGACGCTGTTGAATTGTGCTGCGATCATTGTTCCGATCAGAGCAAAGGTGGCACCCAATGGTGGAGCAGATAGAAGGGAGCTATATGACTGTATGGTTTGGGGACGAATCCACGTAGAAGTCGCCGGTTCTCGATGGATTCATAACTCTGCAGTATAGAAAAAACGCAAAAAAAAAGAAGAAAAAAACACAAAAACATTAAGACGCTTAGAGCTACAACAGCGTGAATTAATTGTGGCATTGTCGTGATCTTGAAGCCACACCGTGCTTTGCTGTTCTGACGGCCAGTGCTATGAGATCTGTCTTTACAATGAGTTACATGATGCCGTACTTCATGTGTTCGTGACCTCCCCTGTGGAGAAAGTGAGACAGAAAACGTCCGACAGGGCAGCACGTGGAACACGCTGATTAGCTAGAGTGGTTTTGTGTGATGGAGGCTTTAGCCCGCTAGATTTACCCGAGTTTTAGGGGTGTTTTCGCTTAGCCTCAGAAAACCATATCATCATATTAACTTGCAACAATGCTTCGTTGTTCGTTGTCGTGTCTGATGCTGCCCTATGAGATGGGTAATATTTAGAGTTGAAATAACAGTTTTACATGAGCTACACTAAAACAATGTGATGCTGACTTGATTCTTTCTGATGTTTAGCGTCTGCAACATGGCACTGTCGGCAGCCATGTTTAGTCATTTCCTATTGAGCAAACGTAATCTCATAAACCACTATAATATAGCTACCACTAGTCGTTCTGCTGCTTTTGTCTTTGATGTGTCGTGTCGGATCGCCTCCGAGCGGCCAATGCACTCATGCTCCGTCTTGCCGTCATTTCGTCGTAGTCGAGGATGATCTTCACTTTCTGAAGGCCTTCGAAGAGGAATTCGTAATGGCCGTTTTCTTTGCTCACCGGGGACCCTATGACGTCTACTCCTCTTTAGAGGTGGGGTAGTTTGCTCCCACTAAAGTAGCTCTTTTGGCGATGACCCAACGTCGTTGTTGTTGCCTGCAATTTGACAATAGGGCGAGCAAGCATTTTCTTCTTTTTGGACTGGAGCACTGCGAGCCAGGCAAGACCCACACTTACAGACACACACACACACACACAAAGAGCGTCCAGAAGAGAGAAGATGACGCGGAAGAATTCGAATCAAAAGGTGATCGGCCACTAAACTGCTGCTATTCGTACAGCTTAGGGTGATAGAGATGGCTGCAGCAGTATCGGCGGGTATGGCTAGCTCTACGCATGGTTCTGCTATCGTCTTTGCTACAACTAACTGTACGTGGTTTATGCTCATTTTACGTGCGTTTAATTACGGCTACAGGCCCCTCATCTCGACAGCGCGGCGGAGGGCAGTGGCGGCGGCGGCGACAACAGCAATCACCACCGCAAAGGCAGATCGGCACCCCCGCAGTGACACAGCCGATCAGACACAGCGACTCGCGGAAAGCTACGAGTTAGCTCGCACACACACGCACAGGCATACACATTCGCGACGAATTCTGCTTGCATCACTTGAGATGGCCTTCGCGCGATGGCGATGTTCTTCAGCCTCATCAACTTAAAATACTGCGCTGGCAGCATGACTAAGTCGCATCGATCTGTACGCTGTGTCGTATATAAGTAATCTGAACAGGAGCAGCAACAACAACAGCTATGGCAAAAACGACAAGCTCTGGTTGGAGCGCTTCCCCGCTATGTATTTCTCAAGTTATTTGAAATGTCGTACGGTGGCCGTTGGTCCATAGACAAGTACAGCAACCCGCCGAGTTTCGAAAGCTAACGAAGCTGAAAACGTTAGCAGTCGGCCGGCTAAGGCGAACTGTGAGCTCGCTCCTTCAAAAGGATGATGTCCTTCACTCAGTATAACAACATAAAATAACGTCAACGCTCAAGAATAGTTGCCTCTTTTTTAGCGCATATATCTATATGAACTCTTTTGGTACTAAAGATAAACTGGCTGCTGACAGTGACTGATTTTCATAGAGGCGTCACGTAGTATCCCCGTTTTTTGATTGATTTTTGCGTCTTTTTTTTTAGCTGACTTAAGAACAAAGCAAACAACGGCAACGATAAGGGCACTGCGATTAGCAAATCCTTTGATAGATGCACCGTGAAACCAAATCATATGCCCACGAAACAACAATTTACATTACCATCAACGCACTTCGTGGCTTCATACGTAAATAATAAAGGCATGAAAAGAAACAATTACGATGTAATTAAGCCTTCATGATTGCAGGTTCCGCAAAGCTGTGGTTGGCATCTATCATTTCTGTAGCTGAATTCTTTTTGTCATCTGCGAAACAAGGGCCGCCGCGGTAAAAAATGGATTTTGCTGTTCCTTCGGAACGCACTCAGCCATCTTCTCATGTTCGTTTACGTTTGTTCAACGACTAGGATTGCC